AGTCAGAATCGGTGCTTAAGTTGGAATAAAAATTGTGACAACAGCAGAACCAATTTTTTTTCTTTTCTTTTCTTTTAGTACAAATTTTGAGGGATTTATCCAACTTTAAAAACAAGATAACGAAGGAACGAATTTAACATTATGAAGACCCCTAGTCAGTCTAAGAAATCTAATGATTTTGGCAGCAAAGAGGGAGGATAAAAAGAGTAGAAAATAGCTCAACAGGGTTTGAAAGAAGATTTTTTCTTTCTCCTCCACTTTTTTTAATTTTTGAGAAAAGATGAGCTACACTCTCACACTCGGTTCAAAACAGATATATATTATCTCCAACATGTGAGGTCTAAAATTGAGTAATAACATATATACATACATACATACATACATACATACATATCAGCATTCATTTATATAGGTCTTGCTTAACTAAATGTAAGTTTATCTGAAAAAGTATCTTTATATGGAAGATCAACAATGTGTTGTTTCCGTTTCCAGAAAGCATTAGGTAAGTCTGAACAAATCTGTTGTTCAATCTTAGCTTGTAAATTAATAAAAAAAATTTTGGTAAATTAGGGTTTTGTAATTATTGGTTGATACGACAAAAAGAAACATGGTTTTGTAAATCACGTAGATGGAATTGTTTCCTATGAATTAGTGCATCATTGATATGATATGTATGTATACAACATGCTTTAATCAAATTTAAATTTCTACTGTATGTGTGTGTGTAATTCATGTCCAGTATGAATAATAGCACGTGAATTATAATTCATGTCCTGTTGTTCACGTAGTGAATAGGAAAGAAGAAAAGAAGAAAAAGAAATGGAATGAGAGAGAGGGCGGATAACCTGGCGTGGTGGTGGTCTAGCCGAGGATAATGGTGTGCTGCCGGTGGTGGCAGTGGTGGAGCTGGTAGCAGGTGGCAGAGCAGGATGAAAGAAGAAGAAGAAAATCTGCAGGACAGAGAGAGAGAGTGACCAATTGTATATGCTTTGTCGTTGGTGAGGAGTTAAGACGACCGTTGGTAGTAAAAATGGCGAGGGTCTGACACAAGGACGATGGTTAGGGACGTGATTGAGATGGTGGCCGGCGGTAGAGAAAGCAAAAGACAAAGAAGAAAAGTAGGAGGGGTTACAGATAGGAGAGAGAAACCGACGGTGAGTCTTGGTGGTCGGTTGGTGGTTGTGTTGGCTTCCTGTGGTGGAGCTGATGGTATGAAGACCGATGATGAGGGTGGTGGTGGTTGAAGGCCACGATGGGAGAGAGAAAGAAAAGACATTTGTAGAAGCCAGAAAAAGCTGGTTTTGGCTGACTTTGGACCTGATTTTCTCTTCCTTTAGACCATGAAATCCACCTCTATTTATAAGCTAGAAGAGGGCAATCTTATCTATACCATAAAAAAATTTGAGCCCTTGATTCAGTTAGGAAGGATCCCAACCGTTGTTTCAAAGTAGACATCCTAAGAAATGAAATCTGCAGATAAAGGCCGACTGAGTAGGCCTCTTTAGTCTGTTACCAGTGCTGATGTGTTATCATGTAGCCTGAACGAGTCATATGGGGTTGTAGAGACAGTGTAGAGGATCATTTGCGTATAAGATTTATCAAATTTGATGGACACTAGATACATGAAATGCAGCTGCAAAGTAAGTAACCGACCAGCTTTTTTAGAAAAAAGAAGAAGAAGAAGATAATGAATAGTGCTGAGTTCTATTTTTGGTCAAAGTTTATTTCAATTCTTCCCTTTTCAATTACTTTCAATTGAACCCTAATTGACCCTAAACTTTTTTTATTTAATGAAATTAAGCCCTTAATTTCAATCAATTAACTTGGTAAAAATTAAATTTTACTTGGTAACAATTTTTATGTTCTTGGATGAATAAAACATTATTGCTAACATCAAAATTTAGACAGACTTAAATCATAAAAGTTCTAGGAAGTTATGTCAACTTTCCAACAAAAAAAATTAAGGTCATATGGATTTCTAAAACTCGAGATATGGGCTAAACACGGAACAATGTCTGGACTGTAGGACATATTCAGACTTTTCTATTGTTGTTATAATTTAAACTTGAAAACATCCTTTTTAAATCTTGGACTCCTATGAAAGTTTTAAGCCTATATCTTAGTTTTCCATCTATATAGAGTAGACTTAAATCCAAGTTCTACAACTCCAATTATGATCCAATGATCGAATAGTGTTCCAGTTTATAATGAACTAATATCTTTTTTCTAAGCTTAGCCCTCTCCTTGTCTTCTAAATTTTAGAAGTTAAATTCATCAATCAATCCTTTTATTTATATGATAGGCCTGCATTTAAGATGAATATTTACTATAAATTAAAGGTATCTTATAATATTAAACATGATATTATAAAACATGCTCTAGTTGAGGAGTTATTGATACTTTAAGTATAAAATAATAATATAAAATCTTGATAAAAATACACTTTTAAGTACTAAATAAAAAATAAAAAAAATATTTTTTAAAATAACTATATTAAAACAAAACAATTATATTTATTTAATTTTATTTTGTTCATGAACGAGCTTGAACTCAATAAAAAAAAATAACAAACCAAGCTTAAACTTTATTTTTAAACTTAATATTATTCAAACTCAATTTAATTTTATGAAACAATCTTAACTATCATGTATTCATACTAGACTCACCTCGTTTATGGTGATTGTGAACAGTCCCATTTATTTTTGTGTTTCAAAAGTATTTTAAAAAAAATTATTTTTTTTTATTTTTTTTTGTTTTAAATTAATATTGTTTTGGTGTTTTTTGGTTTTTTTAATGTGCTAATATCAAAAATAATTGGTTTTTTTAATATACTAATATCAAAAATAATTTTTTTTAAATAAAAACATTTTTAAAAATAACTAATATTATATTTCCAAGCATCCCAAAGGTGGTATGGATTATTTCTATTCCCATATCAAAGGCGGGCAAAGAAGAAAGGAAAAAAAATTTCTGTCTATTTGAAATATAAAAATATTTTTTTTTTCTGTCTATTTGAAATATAAAAATATTTGAAAACTTTTGGATTTTGGTCACCCATAAGAAGCCCCCACAATTAGCGTCTATGACACCACTTCATGAAATAATATTGTTAGTAATTTCTGGATTCCTCTCATGTTTCCTTATATATATATATATATATAGAGACTCTCATGTTTCCTTATATATATATATACATATATATATATATATATATATAGAGAGAGAGAGAGAGAGAGAGAGGGCATATTCAATTAATCTGGATCTTTGAAAATGAATGAGAGGCCAACATTATATTACCTATTATTTACTTAATTAATGCAGTACTGAAATCAAGTGATCTTATGATCAAAAGAAAAATCAAGTCATCTTGCTTTAATACTTACCTGAAATGAGAAAGAGAAAAGATCTCTACGGATTAAAACTAATCCTACACGCACATGGAAATTTATCACATGCTAAACTTTCTTCTTCTTTCTCCTTTTTTTTATATCACGAGATTAAAAATAATCATATAAAAAATAGATGAAAATAAATTATAAAATTTAATTTTTAATAAATTAAATATTATTAAAATAAAAAACATAAATAAAAAGAAAAAACACTATTATTTGTAATGAATAGTATTATGTGAGATAATGTATAGTAAAAATACAACTTTTAGTTTTTGTTAATTAAATTTGTAGAGTTTTTGTTAATTAAATTAGTAGCCTGCACTCTCTCGTGGGTTGAACAAATATTTTTTCAACATGAAAAATTATGTCAAGAAAAAAAAATCTGAGACTTTCACTGATTTAATTAGTAGTTTAAAAAATATGATTAAAAAATACAACAACAATAAATAAATAAACCAAAAAAATAATAATGAAAAATACTTTAAAAGAACTTGATCTAAGTTAATACAGATTATAAAACATTAATGATGAATATTAAAATTAAAAAAATAAAAAAGACAGCAAAAAATCTCAAATAAATTACATAGTAAGTCTATAGTAATATAAGAGTATGTGAATAATGCACCACAGTATTTTTCTTTATAGGAAAAATGCCATTCGTTTTAAAGTTTTCTATAATAATTCTATTTGTAAATTGTAATTCTTTAGTATTAGATATTCAATTAATATAGTTAACTAATAAATTACAATTGGATATATTGTGTAATACAGAACATGTTTTAGAGTATATTAGATACATAAGAACACTTATGATGTCCTTTCAAAGATCATTTCCAATATTACTTTCTGAAGTAAAATAGATCAACTTTCTGAGGTAGGGTTTATCGTGGGTTAATTGTGATGTAAAAGAGGCTCGTGAAGGAGATTAACTTTCTAAAGTAGCCATGAGTGCAATTATACAATAAACTCTAATACTATAATAGAACAAGGAAGAGAATTAGCTTGAGAGAAAGAGAAGAAATTTTTGTTATACAGACACCCACACTAAACTTGGCTAGTACTATTGAGCTTTGTATAATTTACCTCACACACACACACACACATATATATTACTAATAATAGAATATAACTGGATCTAAAGTTATATTTGATGATATTGCTTCAATAATACTGTTACTTAGAATTCCTTTTTTTTTTAGTGTCCAAAACCTCTGTTTATTGTCTCTCATGAAAAGGAAAGTAGAAATGCAACGAATTTCAAAGTCTCTTCATCCTCGCAGCATCTCTGTATTACTATTTAGCATATATTCATTGGTTTGTACCCAAGCCAAGTACCAAGTTCTTGCACATGTAACCAAGGTTTGCCAAAACTGGTCAAGCAAGCTTTAAGCTGGTCAGCATCTCTTTTTCTTTGCTTTCTGCGACAACAAAACGCAGCAACTCGAATCTTATGACACCTTACCCGAAATCTACTGCAAAAGTTTTTTTCTCATAAGATTTGTTTCACTATCTATTTTAAGAGATTTTTTTATATATAGAAATATCCATGTACATTTACTTTTCATCTTACATTCGAGAGAACTAGTTTCCAGTACTGTTCAGGAAAAGATGATAATGCTCAAGAAATTGCCTGAAGAAGTCTTAAATTTGTGGAACAAATGGGAGATTCGAGGAATGCTTTTAGTTAGTCTCTTACTACAAATCATCCTCATTATATTTGGTTCTCGAAGAAAGTACATTGCAAGAAGCTGGGTCAGGATTTTTGTTTGGTGTGCATACCTCTCAGCCGACTTGGTGGCAACTGTTGCACTGGGTATTCTATCTAGGAGCCAAGGCGATTCAGCAGGAGACGGTTCAAATAAAGCAAACAATTTAATCCAGGCATTTTGGGCTCCTTTTCTACTCCTGCACCTTGGTGGCCCAGACACAATCAATGCATACTCAATTGAAGATAACGAGTTGTGGTTAAGGCACTTCCTTGGTCTTGCAGTCCAAGTCGGAGTGGCTCTGCAGGTTTTCTCAAGGTCTTGCGGCAGCGGTATCCTCGCATTCATAGCGATCCCGATGCTCATTGTTGGCATTATAAAGTACGCAGAGAGGACCTGGGTGCTCAGGTCTTCATGCTCCAAGAGCTTGAAAAACACCATTCTCTCAAAATTTCGACCATTTTACCCATTAAGGGCACCAGAAACTCTTCAACGAGCTCTCGGAGGAAATTATCTTCGTCAAGCTTATACCTTCTTCGATATATCCATGTTTATGATGCAGGATCTTGTCCCCGGCATTCTTGCACTAATGAACAGCCAGTTGCTGATTACCTCAAATTCAGCAGACGATGCCTTCAAGGTAATAGAAGTTGAGCTTGGATTAATATATGACATGCTTTATACTAAAGCGCCCCTGATTTACTCCCTTGTCGGAATCATTCTTCGCTCTATCAGCTTTTTACTCTTTTTTACTGCGTTTATTACCTTCCAAGTCATGATTGACAAGCATGCCTACTCAACAATCGACATTGCAATTACGTATGTATTGTTTGCGGGCTCCGCTTTTCACGAGATTTATGCCTTTTCATGCCTTGTTTTCTCTGACTGGACAATGATTTGGTTGATTGATGGAGGAGGGAACGCCCTAACTAGAGCTATTTATTCTCTGATAAGGAAGTTAACTAGAAGCAAGAGGTGGTCGAGATCCATAGCACAGCATAACCTGATAAGCTTTTGCATTGAAAACAAGCCACTTAAATATTGTTTGGAATTGCTCGGAATCCTTGAAATGACGAGGCAGGTGTATGTGAATCGCGAAGATATGAATGTTGGACTACGAAATTCTATTTTCGAACACCTTCAAAAGAAATGCGAGAAGATCAAGGAGAATTTTAATTTCATTGATACAAATTTCAGAAGGATAATAATTGATGAGAGAGGAGATGGTGTGCTAGAAAGAGAGGGACAATTACATGACTTCAAGTGGTGTACAACTGAAGTAGAATTCAGCCGGAGCCTTCTTGTCTGGCACCTCGCAACAGATATTTGCTATTTTGCTGATAACGATGCAATTAATAATGTCCCTTCAGACTGCGAAACAAGCAAATGCTTGTCTGAATACCTGATGTATCTTCTGGTGGCGAGACCAAATATGCTCCCTAAAGGAATCGGTGATATAGAGAAGGGATATCTAGATACTTGCCAGGACCTGGCGCTTTTAGGAAAAGTCATTGAAACAGGCAAGAAGGCACTAAGTAAGAAGGATGTTGTCGATACAATACTGCTCGACATTGAATCATACACTGCTGCTGAGAGTGACTTTCTGAGCGACTGGAGAACAACCAAGTCAGTGCTAGATGGTGGGTATTGGCTCGCCAGGCAATTGCGGTCATTGGGACTCGAGAAGCGATGGAAGATGATAAATGAAGTTTGGATAGAAATGCTTTGTTATGCTGCAGCTCATTGCCCATGGAAAGAACATACCCAGCAACTGAGGAGAGGTGGAGAGCTACTCACTCATGTCAGCTTTCTTATGCTACATCTTGGTTTGAGTGAACAGTATGAATACTTCAGATTTGAAGACGTCCAGGTCTTAGTTGTTGGAATTTGACGGTGGTAAGCATTCCTAAAATTAATAAACACCAAACATGGTTCACGAGCTAGAAGATCAATGTTTTTTTATATGGTTTTTGTTTTCTAATTTTTTTTTATATTTAAATTAATACTTTTTTTTTTAGAAAACTTCTTTTAAATGATAGTTATTTTTTGTTATATATTTAAATATTAAAGATTTTTTTCTTATTAATCTATGATTTATTTTTATCTTTTGCATAAATAAATTTTATTTTTAAAAATAAAAAAAATTATATTTTTGAATAATATTTCTAATATATACAGCCTTATATAATTTTTTTTTTATTTTGTTTAATCAATTTAACTTATGTCTTTATTTTTATTTTTATTGTTATTTGATTTAATAAAGAAATTATTTGAAGAAATAATTTTAACAAATATTACTAGGTAAATATCTTAGCTAGCAAAATAAAATATTTTGATCCATATCTGTTTTTTAATTTTTTAATTTTAATTTTAATTTTTAATTATTGTTTATAATTTTTTATTTATTAACACACAATTCTCGATTTATTTGATTACATGCTTATATAAATTTTTTGATTTTTACTTTAAAAAATTTTAATTACAAAAATATGTTAAAAAACTGTAGATTTTTTTTATTTAAAATAGATTTACTAAAACATAATTGTATATTTTCTTTACATTTTCGGTAACCTCTACTCTTTGTATGTGACAAATCAAATTTCTAACTCTAAATTACATCAAATCAGTCCCCTTATGAGATTCCGTTCTGGAGAAGAGAAGGAAATAGAAAAATTCTAATAGTTTGTTGAATGCCATGTGTTAATGTTTAATTGGACGAAGAATCTCAATTTTTCTTTATAGTGGATAGGCATTGCACCAAAGTTTTCATTTGATATTGTAGTTATTTGTCGCGTTTTATAAAATTTTTAATTTTTTTTATGTTTTTAAATTATTTTAATATATTAATATCAAAAATATTTTTTTAAAAATAAAAGGTATTATTTTTATAAAATAAAAAACATTTTAAAAAGTAATTATTAATGCAACTTCAAATGATTCCTAAATTATTAGTGTTGAGAAAACATTTGCTTTTTTTAACCGATAACTACATGAATTTCTAACGTCAAATTCAATGATGTTTCCTCGCAATTTTCAACAAGAAAGGAGGAGCAACGGCAATGCTCGTTGGCTATATTAAGGTATGAGCTAGGAAAGGCAGGCATGTCAGTGTCGAGTGCTGATGAGGTATGATGCTAATTTCCTTTCTACTTGTTCTTTTCCTCAATTGTGTGTGTGTCTATATATATATATATATATATTGTAAAAAAAAATTAAAAAAAAACATTATTGTCATCTTTATTAAATATATAACATTTTGTTCATAATAATTTGGTGTATGAGAAAATATAAAAAACTAACATTGTATTGTTAGAACGCTGGCATGCAAACCCGACAAGACAAAAGGTAAGGAATAGGATAAAATGAGAAATGAGACACACAAGAATTTACGTGGTTCACTCAATTTGGACTACGTCCACAAGCAAGTATAGAAGGATTTTACTAAGTAATATGAGAATTACAACCTCTCTCAAGTAATAGGAGAACAACTAAAATCTCTCTATTATTAGGAGAAAACACCTCATTTACTCTCTCACAAATACCTCACAATTTTGTGGGATTACTCTCTCTTCTCTCTACTCTTCACTTCTCTTCTTTGGTGTGAATAATAAACTTGGAGGCATTGCCTATTTATAGGAAGAGTGAGGGGACAAAGGCCATAAATTATGGTATAAATTATACCAACAATTTATCTCCACTAATTTTTGTCTTCCACTAATACTCCACTAATTTTTGTCTTCCATTAATTTTGTCTTCTATTAAATTAATGGATATACTTAAGTTAATTAAATATTGCCTTGGATATACTTAAGTTAATTAAATATTGCCTTACATGTATGATTTATTTTTCTTACTTAATCCAAATCACTGGATTTAAAATCAATAATTATATTTGAGATATGATAGATTAAAGTTTTTTAAAAATACGCGAGTGTTCAAATTCAGAAATAAGAATGAGAAGAAAGAATTGGCGGTTTGTAAAAAGAAAAGGGAAATATTCTATATTGTTGACTTTATCTTTACTCATATATATATATATATATTTATATATATATATTTATATATATAAGCTTTACCTCAGAATTTAGCATTGTTTTGCTGTAAAGCCATATCGAATCTCCTTTTTGCTATGAAATAGCAGTGAACTTCTTCTTCTTCTTGGAATATTGGGTGAAAGATATTTCTACCCTTATAAATTATCAATGTTCCACTTCCATTCCAAAACTTTAAAATATTTCAATGTTGCCCTCTAACAACTTTTTATTATTACAAACATTTTTTATGTCATACATATTCATGTTGTGTTGTTTTATTTACAAGAAATACTTAAGCTCCTTTATTGTTCTTGCTAATTTACGTTCTCTATGTTGAAGTGAAAAATGAATTGAAGCTCATGAGACTCCTTTTTCGTATTCTTAAATAAGAATAAAGTTCTGCAGACATTAATCAAATATCAACTAATTACTCAGAGTTTCAACATTGCTATATATTTTGAAGGAGGTGAAAGAACTTAAGAAGGCCTTGTCAGATAAAGACCGGGAGCTTGAGCTGGTGAGGTCTCTCTTAGCTGCATCAAATCAACAGCAGCAAAATACTGGTGCAATCCCAGAAGGTTCATCAGCAAAAAAGTGATGATCAAAGGACCAGACAATCTTCATCAAATAATGGGCATATCAGTTTAAGCCTTCAGTAATAGGAGGTAGCTCTTGTTGTGCGTTATTTATGTGAATTAATTGAAATTAATAAGGGTATGCAAATCGCTAAATGCCTAACTGGAGAAAAATATGAGAAAAAAGTGAAAAACATTTGTGTTCATTATTTACTGATTCACTATAACGTGATAATTGATGCTGAGAACTGGCAATTCTTTTTTTCATTTTGCTCCAGTCTCTTGAGAAGGAAAATATGGAGATCCCACTTACATCTTGTTGATCGGGTATTTGGGATAAATAATTAGTTTTTTTGAATCAAAATCTGAAGAAATTGTGCTTGGGAATGATGCCACTTGGAGTGAGATTGCATTCTTTTCTGGCTTCTAACTGGGAGATCCCC